CTCCCTTCCTCTTCAGCAACCCTCCGCTCTGATGCACAGCCCCAGATTGGCCATACCAGGGCCCATGGCATCTTTGTCCGCTGAAACCAGGGGTTCCCTGTGAAGCTCTTCCAGATTACACGGCCTGTAGCACTAACCAACAGCAGTGGCAGCAGAAGTGGTAGCAGCGCCAGGAATGCCCAGTTAACTCCTAAGGAAGGAAAAAAAAAAAACAATTACATAAACCACAACAATGGCTCCCGCCTATCAATTGCATACGTGCTGAGGGCTTCACATACATCATCCTATTTAATCCTCACGGGGATAAACCCATGCCACAGATTGTGGAAACCAAGATTCAGAGAGGTTATGTAAGTTGCCCAAAGACACACAGTGAGTGTGAGAGAGCCGGGATTTTAGTCAAGGTGAGCCTGTCTCTAGACTCATGTTGTTAACCACCATATTATGAAGCTCCTGAGACTCAAGGAAAAAGTCCCCACTTCTGTACCCCTTTGTACCCACTTGAGGCCTCCAGAGTCAGGCAGGTGGGCTTGGAGAACTCGCTGTATTTAGTGTCGCTGAAGGTGTAGATGGTTCTGGCACTGAGACAGTGCTGTCCTTTCGTGGCTGGCTGGAGGGAGATCTGGACTGGCTGGCCATGGGAAGTGAGTGGAAATCGGGTCTGTTTGGAGAGAGAAGCAGAGGTGAGCAGACCTGCTGTGGGGACTGTTCCATACAGCCAGCACAGGGTGGGGGTGGCAGCAGGGTCCATCTGCAATCATGCATCGTCTTTTCCTGTAAAGTTCAAGCGTTAAGGAAGCACTTCCCAATACTATCTGGTTTCTTTTCTGCTGAGTTTCGAGGTAGAGATGGTCTGGGTTCAAAAGTAGCCCTGCTACTCAGGGTCATTACCCACTCACCCCCATGCAGGGCCTACTGGTCCTTACTTTGAGGAGCATATTCCTCAGGATTCCTTACCCTAAGGGCCTCCCAACTTATTTGAGGGGGGAGGGCAGCATCATTCAGCCATTACAGACACAGAAAATTCTAGGGCTGCCTGCCACTGAGCACTTGAAATGTGTGGCTGGTCCAAACTAATATGGGTTCTAAATATAAAATACACACCGGCTTTCAAAGACTAAGTGAAAAAGAATGTACAATATTACAATAATTTTTCTATTAATTACATGTTGAAATAACATTCTATTGTGTGAAATACAGTATATTATAAA